CCCCCTGCCCCCCCGCCCCAGACTGTGATTTTAGGGCTCTCTCCTTGTGCACACGCTCCCTCAGACCGGGCCTGAGGCTTGCTGTAGGCCAAGTGCAGTGAGAGAGGGGATGAGAGAGAGGGTGGCAGCCTCAACACAGTGACTGGGCGGCCCAGTGATGCTAGTCTAGCTGAGTCTCCTAGGTCCATGATGGCATCATCCACAAGGACAGGGAAAAGAAAGGGCTCTTATGTAGAAACGGGGGGCTGTCCACGTGACCGCGGGCCCCTCCTGGCTCTGAGCCCCATGAGCAGCGCTTCCGCGTCCTTGGCCCCCAGGCCCGGAAAGCACTCACGGAGCGGCAGAGGGACCTGGAGATGAAGACCCAGCAGCTGGAGATCAAGCTGAGCAACAAGACGGAGGAGGACATCAAGAAGGCCCGGAGGAAGTCCACGCAGGCCGGTGAGTGGGCCACGCCCAGCTGTCGGCACCTGGTCCGGGAGGCGCAGCAGGGGGAGCTGGGGGAGGGATCCCGGAAGGTGCGTCCCACCGGGTGGGGGCCGGGGGCTGTGGGTGGGAGCAGACAAGGCTGCCTCCAGGCCTGGCTCTCTGACCGGGAAGTGGTTATTCCTCCATGGCCCGGAACTGTGGGGCCCTGTCACTGCGGGGAGCCCCTGGAAGTACAGACAGCACCCCAGCAGGGAGGGATGTTCCGAGGCTTACCTATGAAGATGGGCGCCTGCCCCAGTCAGCAGCTGACATTTTCATGAAATAACCGCATTTCAGATTCTCCTTGAAAGATGCTTCCAGTGCATTGGTCTCTGCTTCCACCTAGTGGTAAAAATGAGCTAATGCCCAAGGAGGGGGGAGAAAATCCAGATAGAACCAGTGAAAACTTACCTGATATCCCTTTAAAGAAGTTTCACTGCGTGCAAGGACAGGGCGTGGTGCTTTCTGAGGCCGGAAGGTGTGATGTAGGGTTAGGGTTCAGATCAGATGGCCTAGCCCAGTGGTCGGCAAACTCATTAGCCAACAGAGCCAAATATCAACAGTACGACGATTGAAATTTCTTTTGAGAGCCAAATTTTTTAAACTTAAACTATATAGGTAGGTACATTGTCATTAACTTAATTAGGGTCCTCCTAGGGCTTAGGAAGAGCCACAGTCAAGGGGCCAAAGAGCCGCATGTGGCTCTCGGCCTCAGTTTGCCCACCATGGGTCTAGGCCAGTGATGGCGAACCTATGACACACGTGTCAGAGGTGACACACGAACTCATTTTTCTGGTTGACTTTTCTTTGTTAAATGGCATTTAAATATATAAAATAAATATCAAAAATATAAGTCTTTGTTTTACTACGGTTGCAAATATCAAAAAATTCCTATATGTGACACGGCACCAGAGTTAAGTTAGGGTTTTTCAAAATGCTGACACGCCGAGCTCAAAAGGTTCGCCATCTCTGGTCTAGGACCTAGATTCTAGTTCCCTTCCACTCAGCTTCTGGTAAACCTCATACAGGCAACTCGTGGAACGAGGCAGCCATGGACATTTTGAAATAAGATGGTGTAAAATAGGTCAATTACAAATAATAGGAAAATACCCAGAAATAGAAGGCATTATATGCTTACTGTGATTGGGCAGAGAAACCTCGGGCAGAAAAGGCATATTTAAATTCATGTAATTAGTTACGTTATTAAATAAAATTACATTATAAAATCAATATCTTTGCTTGGGAAAAAATTTAATCAGCACATAGAATAGAAAATCTTAATTTGCCAAATTAATCACCATCAATACTTCCTAGTTTTTTAATGTTTTCGGTGTTTATGTTTAAATGTCTACACGTTAGGTCATATACTCTGTGTTCTCAGGTTATATTTTAACTGGTATGCCTTAGCGATAGCTCTGTTCCATTACCCATACACTCAATTATCCAGCCATTCATGTACATCAGACTTTTATTTTCTTGGTCATCTAAGTATTTATTTCATTGTCATTTTAACAAAAACAAAATTATTTCTTAGTTTGTGACTATTAGATATATTGCTGGGAAATTTTCCATTAAATATAGCTTATTTATATTTAAGAATTATAAACTAAAGCCCCATAAAATAAAATAAAAAGTTTAGGCAAATACAAGCAGCAGCACACAGTCAAGCCATAGTATCAGCAGCCAGAGGTCTTAGTGGGCACGCACTTGCAGTGGCATATCGACCTCTTCCCTTCCAGTTCCCGTTTTTCTTGGGCTCAAGGGCCCAGTCCTTGACCTTGGACCAGGAGCAAAATGAACAAAGCCCTTGATTTGGTTCTGTTACTCAAGGTCATCGCCCAGCTAGTGGTGTGGTTCAGGTGCAAGGGAGCTGCTGGCCAGGCCCTGGGTCGTGTGCCCGTATGCCTTCACCTTCACACCAGAATGACAAGGTGACGTCATAGGAATAACTTCTAATCCCCTCCCAGTACTAGACTTAAAGCATAAACTAGTTAGCTTTGACTGGCTCGAGTTTTTCCCATCATGAGCAAAGACCGTGACGCCGTCCTCCCTGGAACCCTGTGATGATCTAAACTACACACAGACCCAGGCATGCACTCAGGGGGTGCACGTGGACCACATGGGCATCTTGTGAGAGTGCAGCTCTGATTAGCAGGTGTCGCATCGTCCTAGAGCTGCATTCTGGCAGGCTGCGTGTTTTGTGTAGCAAGGTTCTGGGGTGCTGGTACCTTCATCATGTTTGCAGTTACCTTATAGGTAGTTTTCTTTCTAATTACAAAATGTTTCAAACGTACCTGTGATGGCAGAAAACAGTGTAGTAGCATCAAGATTGAATAGTGATGTCTGTTTCTGAGCTCTTATGAAATAAAATGCTACGGAAAGACCCCTCTCCTTCCACCCTGCCTTTCTGTCTCCATGTCAGCGCAGTGCTGGGGTCGGTGGGTAGCGCTCGGAGCGTGTTTCCATGCCATTACTGCACATGGATGAACCATACACCGGCAGACACATTATTTTGTATTTCATCCAGGCATCCTGCTGCATGTACACATACACGCATACGCGCGCATGCACACACACACACACACACACACAAAACGGACATAATTTGCAAATTTTTCTTCTTTAACTCTTAATGAGTACCAAGCTGCTTGTGACGTTTTTTACCCAAAAAGGGCTCTCCTATGTGAAATGAAGCTACCATCTTTAGAGAGGAAGCATGCCTTTGGCTGATGAGAGGTTGGGAGGTCCTAGGAATAACCCCCTCCCCACTTCACCCCACACACTGAGAAACCTCCATCCTGACTTCTCGGTGCCTGCGGTCAGGTTCGGGTGGGCACTGAAGCTCGTCTCTTGTGGTGCTGGGCTGCCCTCTCTGTCTTCTGCTTTTCACTCCCGCCCCGCTTTCCACTGGCCTCCATGCCCCAAGGAGGGGAGAGGGCATGGCTGTGGGGTGCAGTGGCAGAGGGCAGCCACGGCCAGGACAGACAGGGTGTGACGGCAGCCTTGTCCTCTTCCAGGAGATGACCTCATGCGCTGTGTGGACCTCTACAACCAGGCCCAGTCCAAGTGGTTTGAAGAGATGGTGACCACCACGCTGGTGAGTGCCTGAGATGTGTGAGCAGGCCGGTTCCGTGCCTGCACTCAGGGCGCCCTGGGCGGTAGAGTGAGGTGACTGTGGAAGTAGGCATTATGTCTGCTCACATTGGGGTCCAGATCTCGCCTCTGGGTGAGTCCAAGCTCATCCATACCCTTGCTCTGGCCCTTCCTAGCTGTGTAAACACGGGGGAGCGTTGGCTGGGCCCTGAGGAACCCCCCACAAGTTGTCAGTGGCCCCTTTAGGACAAATAGCCAAGTTGCAGGACGCGTGATCCTCTCACCCCCAAAGGAGTTTCAGCTCCTACAGGGGAGAGCCTGGCAGGGGGCGAAGGGTGAGGCTGGGAGCTGTGTAGGGGGAGTAGGGTGGCCCCTGATCAGGGGCCTGAGGGATCGGCCTCAGAGCCCTTCTCTTGCCTTCATGAGATTTTCCTGTGAAGGGGCAGCCACCTTCTCCTCAGTCAGCACTGGCCGCGGTGAGATGTGGTGGGCACGTGGGCACGTAGGCACGTGGGCACATGGGTCGTTGGGCCAGAGGAGAAAGGAGCATCGTGCCAGCTGCTGATCACGTTGCCCCATTGCCAAAGCCATGCCCGTCCACACAGGCAGTGACCTGCTTTCCTCCTGCTTAATCCCCTAATGGAGCCCCCGCTTTCCCCTCCCTGGGTGATCACCGGGGCAGTGACCTAGTTATGCAAGAACAACAGCCTGAGCCCCTCAATTCCAAAGATGCGGAACCACCTAGAAACCAAAGGACAGACCTTTCCACTCTTCCCTTTGACAGGGACCACCCCACCCCCGGCCCCTGCCTCCCCTGGCCTGGTCTCGGGTCTGTCCCTCAGCACTCGGGGAGGACAGAGGACAGAGGCCCAGGGAGGCACGGGCACCTGCATGCATCCCATCTCTCCACTGCTGGGAACCGGGTGCAGATTCATGAGTCAGACCACAGCAGTCCGGGTTCAAATCTCGCTCCTCCCATAATTCCATGTCGCCATGGGCAGGTGACGTTCCCTCTCTGGATGTTCATTCCCTTGTTGGGGAAATGCGGACAAGAACAGAGCTTGTCTCTTCAGATTATTATGAGCACGATTAGGCAAGGCCTGTAGCGCTCCAGCACCCACCCGCCCAGCAGGGCAGGGTCCAGGCGGCAGTAGCTGCTGTGTCAGCATCCGCACCTGCACCGCTAGATGTGGGACGAGTTCCTCATCAGACCCCGAAGGGTCAGGTGGGACTTGGCCGAAGCAGCGCCGACGTGTGTGCGAGGGTGGTCTGGGCCCGTGTGGTGGGAAGGACATGTCACATGTGCCTGCGTTTCCTCCGCGCAGGAGCTGGAGCGGCTGGAGGTGGAGAGGGTGGAGATGATCCGGCAGCACCTGTGCCAGTACACGCAGCTGCGGCACGAGACAGACATGTTCAACCAAAGCGTGAGTTCCCCGCCCAGGCGGAGGCCCCAGGACCCCGGGGGGACCCCTGTTCTGTGGCAGTTCCTCATCAGACCCCGAAGGGTCAGGTGGGACCCAGCCTAAGCCGCGGCGACGTGTGTGCGAGGGTGGTCTGGGCCCGTGTGGTGGGAAGGACATGTCACATGTGCCTGCGTTTCCTCCGCGCAGGAGCTGGAGCGGCTGGAGGTGGAGAGGGTGGAGATGATCCGGCAGCACCTGTGCCAGTACATCCCTACCTTCCTACCAGTAGCCATCTTCCTCCATAACTTCACCTATTATCAACATCCCAAACCAGATACAGTGGAACTTAATTTCTAACTTAATTTGGAGGCCCCAGGACCCCGGGGGGACCCCTGTTCTGTGGCAGGTGAAGTGGTCACTACAGATGAACCTGAGTGGCGGTGGGCAGCCTGGGGACGGGCCTGCAGGGTGTCCTGCGCACCCATGGGAACCCATCCCAAACGCAGGAGTGGATACAGCGCACGTTTCCCCAGGACAAAGCTCATGGTAGTTCAACAGCTGAAGACGATATTGCCTGCCCCAGTGAATCTTTTACCAAAAAGATAAAAGAATTAGGACTATGCAGAATAGCTAAAGCTACAATGTCATTTGCCCTGTTCTGTGGTGGTAACCGTGAGAGCGAAGGGTGGAACTGCTCTCAGACCTGGAGCCATTGAGCCACTCCTCCCTGTCATCCAGCCTGTGGTCCGGAGGGTCAAGTGCTCGAGTGAGAAGCAGGGTGGGATGAAAGGTCCCGGCTCCCGCTCTCCCAGCCTCTGCACGTCTGCCTCTCACGGGCCTCCCCTGGGGCCCCCCACCCCCTGAGAGGCGGCTGTGACAGCAGATGCGGGCAGCCGGGCTCCGAGGCCGTGTCCCGGGCGCTACTGCCCCTGACGGCATCCTCTCTTCTCCATCCCTTGCAGACAGTCGAGCCAGTGGACCAGCTGCTTCGCAAAGTGGACCCAGCCAAAGACAGGGAGCTGTGGGTCAGAGAGCACAAGACGGGCAACATCCGCCCTGTGGACATGGAGATCTAGGCGGGCACACGCAGCCCCTGGGGTCCTGCCAAGGAGAGGGGCCGGGGGGCCCATGGAGAGGAGGGGGTGGGTCCCGCTGCCAAGTGGAGCTGCCCTCCCCCCCACTCTCCTGCCCACTGAGGAGAGGGGAGGGTGAGGGCCGCAGCCAGCGATTCCAGAAGGGCGGCCTGGCGGCCTCGCTGGGAGGTCCCCGTGTTCCCAGGCCAAGAAGGTGGATCCACAGCCCCGCCCTTATCTCTGAGGCCGAAGACCCCCAACTCCCATGTTGTGCTTGCCGTCCCGGGAACAAACTGAAGCTGGAACTTTGTGGTCCCTGCTGAGCACCGTAGGGTCATCTCCCCGCCCAGAGCCAGCTGCATCCCATGCTCGTGCCCCTGGAAGCCCCGAGGTCCTTCCTCCAGCTGGCCCCCTGGTCTCCAGGGAGGTCTCTGTCTCCAAGCCAAGTGTCAGGATCGCCGTCGTGGACGGAAGGCAGCGTTCAACAGCCCGCACTCAGAATCCTTTGCAGCCTTCCCTCTTATTTTTTTTTCCCCGTTGCATTCTGGGAGGCCACATCCTGGCTCTTCCCCGTCTCCGTTCATGATCAAGAGTCTTGGGAAGAAGGCCTCGCTGCCGCCTTCCCGGACTGACCTGCCTGGAGAGGTCCGGATGGAACTACCTCATCAGCAAATCAGCCCTCAGTCATCGTGCTGAGTCGGGTTCCCCAGCAGATCAGGCATCCTCTGCAAAGTCTCTCCCAGAATCCCCAGCCCCCCGACCTGCAGATGCCCCCTCCTCCCATCCCCACCCCTCTCTACGCTCTAAACGGGGCTGGGTCAGTCCCACGTGGGAGACAGTCTGGGGCAAGTCTTTGTCACCGCCCCCCCCCACCCCCCAATGGCTCCCCCTGCTTGCATATGGCAGCATTGGGACCACTGTCCCTCGTATGGCTTCCTGTCAGTGGTGGTCACTGTACAGGCATCCAAGACCAACATGGCCACAGTAGGTTGTCGCCTACTGGGCAGCGTCTCGCCACCGCGGCCTCTCGGCAACTCCTGCACAGTCCGGAGCCCAGCATCAGGCCCTGCCTGGGGGTGGTGCCGCCTTCCCTTCCTTCATCTCCCAATTGCTCATAAAATCTGGTCTGAGTGTGACGTAGGAAGCTTTCAGGGCTGCAGTCGGGTCCTTGCCCATCATGTGCTCCTCTTCCTGACCCCAGCAAACATATTCTCCGTCGTGTTAAGTCCTGAGAATCAGTTCGAAAGGACCAGAGGAAGGAGAGGGAACTGAAGGAGGAAGCGCAGCTAGCCAGGGGCAGCCCATGCCCTGAGAACCAACCCATCTTTCTCACTTAATCTTCCCCATCGATTACTTTGGATTTACAGGATCCATATATTCCCAAGAGTGTGGAATTCTAGGAGCACAACTCACTGGTCTTTCAGTCTTATGTATCTGATGCTGTATTAACTTTGAATCTTTCGGTACCTCTTTCATTGAGTCAGACCGCGCTCTCACAGTTTATGGCAGAAAGATGCTGAATATACTAAAGCCAGCCAAACCTTGTCCCTTCTCTTACGGAAACATCCCAACCAGAAAGCTCAGTGCGAAGGCCTTGTCCGACCTGCCTCTGTCCACTGCATGGAGAACCACTCCCGGCTCTACGATGGGGCCATGACACCCACCACCGGTTTCAGGGTCTCCGCTCTCGGTTTCTTTATTAAAAACAGGTGCAAGTAGGAACTGCTTTGTGGCTTAGCAGAGTAATTTGTGGATGATATTGAGCTATTCAAAGCCAATGGCCATGTCATGAACACATCTTCTGAGTGGATACGCTCAGTGAGTTTGCCTTCTCGCTTCTCTCTGAGGATTCTAGTCTTCTGCTCCTCCCTGGGACAGAGCGAGCTCTCCTGCCTCTTCTGGGGTAGCCTGAGCTGGCCCCGTGTGGGCCGGCCTGTCTGATGAAGTGTTTCTTTCCTCCTCATCCCCTCACCTCAGTCTCGGTAGCTTTTTCACCTACTTTTCCTCTGTTTTTCTTCCCTCTTTTATTCATTCATCAAGCATTTAGCTGAAGACACGTGATGTGCTAAGATCTGAGGGCAAGGTATGGGCTTATTTTCTGTGATTGTGTATAGACATCTTTTCTCCAGGGTTCTTGCAGGTCGGTGACCTTGGCGTTCACATACAGGTACTCTGTAGACCTTGGGTTTTCAGGGATACCATCTGTTGTGCTGATCCGCATTCATTTATTGAGCAGATCCTTGGGACAAGCCAGGCACTCTTGCCCGCCCCTCTATTCCTCATGTAGACAGATATTTTGACCTTTCTGGATAATGAGAACATTTAACCTACCACATTTTACCCACTGGGAATCTGTAATTATAGTACAAACTACCGTCATACGGCATTTACCCAATTGGTGGGAGATAGACAGCAACAAGGCTCAGTGCCCTAGTCACTAGACTCCCAGCCCATATCCAACTTGAATATCTGAGAATTCTTTTTTCTGTTTTGTTTTGTTAATCTTCACCCGAGGGTATTTTTTTCCATTGATTTTTAGAGAAAGAGGAAGGGACCGCGAGAGACAGAGAGAGAAATATCGATGTGAAAGAGACACATTGATTGGTTGCCTCCCGCACGTGCCCCGACCGGGGCCAGGGATAGAACCTGCAACCAAGGTACATGCCTTTGACTAGAATCGAACTCAGGACACTTCAGTCCACAGGCTGATGTGCTAACCACTGAGCAACTGGTTAGGTCTGAGATTTCTTTCTTGTTTTAAATAACTCCTCACTTTACAAAGTGGATGAAGCCTAAGCCTGGCCAGTGAAATTAATACTGAATTAAGAGCAGAGCTGTAGTCGACAGTCCAGGCCCCCTGTCCTTGTCAACAGCTCCCCACCCCCACCCCCCACCTCCGCAGTCTGGGTGAAGGCAAGATCAGGATGAAGTCTAGAGCATCTAAAACTGCACTTCAGGGTAGCAAACACTCTATCCGGTCATTGTTTTGCGTTTATGTTCTGGTGTTTAGGTTGTAAGAGGATTTGACGGGGTCTACTCAGAAGGGTAAGTGAGTGAGTCTGGGTTTTTCTTGAGCGCCTCTATTGTTCATTTCTGAAAACAGTGAGCCCCTTCTACCTGCCTTCACTTAGTTTTGTCTGTGAAAACCTGATTTAAAAAAAAAATTCTCTATGACAAATGACGTGAGCTCTTCGACGTGAGCTGGTGGCCATGACAACCTCCAGGGAAAGCCACTGGTCCCTCTCCGTTTTTTTCTAGTGTTTAGCACAG